TTTCTCTGACCCCCCTACTCTTCGGAAATTCCAAATTCCTCTGTGGGGTGGGTATGGATAATTTCTTGAACTACACATTATGTATTTTGCATTCTACATTGTTTGGTTTGAGTTTGGTAAGAGTGTTTAAGAATGTGTCCACTCAAAATTCACTTTAATTAATTGATCTCCACTACCTTGGATGGCTTGCAGTAGTAAAGTATCGGTGGATCTGTGCATAATATGAATTTTCTTGTTTTCCAGTTGTGTCGCACGTGACCCTGTGACAAGCGAAGATATAACTTTAATATATACTGGCAGTAAATGGATGTGTGGATGGATGGATGGATGAATGACATTTACATTGTGGAGGGATGAATGGATGGTTAAGCAAGTTGGTGGATGGATGGAAGGAAAGATGTAAAAGCCCTGACAAATAATTGCAACATCTTTATGAGCTTAAATCATTTTAATATCCAACTATCATCAATAGTTAACAAACCTTCTTCTCCAGAAATCCTTGTTTAACAATCGTCCCCTTGATGACATCACTCTAAGATTAAAAAAAAAACAAACAACCACACCTACATTTTATTTATTTTCCTATGGAATATATGAAATAGAAAAATTACACCACACAAATCACGTTTCATCTCTAAACACCTTCAAAATCAGATATAAAGACAGCAAACTTAAAAAACAAATAAAGAAAAAAAGATAAACTCTGTGCCAGAGTTTGTGATGATACTAGAGCAAGCAACTAACTCAAATGAATTTTGGGGTGCTTTCAGCAGTTGAGTAACAGAAGGTTTGAAAAGAAAAAATGAGTTTATTCATGACATACATCTTTGAGTTTGCACAGTTTTTTCTTTCAAGGTAAAAGTGTGCAAAAATGTAATTTCTATTACAAAGCATGCACAAAAAAAGAGAATCCACTTACCGGAATTACTCGCATCTCTTCGTCAGAGTCACTTGATTCATCAGAAGAATCCAAGTCAAGAACATCTTGGTTGTTACTGAAGTGAAGTGCAGACTGGAAAGAATGATTAAAAAAGGAAAGATAAATAAGAACAAAGATTTAAAGTAGCACTAAGTCTGTTGGTAAACACAGGTAACCATGGTGATACCATTACCATGGGAACTAAGGACTTCTAATACAAATGCCATGCAAGCACTATAAGTAACCATTGTGATACTGTTACCATGGAAACCAAGGACTGCCAATACAAAGTACAAGTGTCTTAGCACAAGTGTCTTAGCAGCAACAATAACTATGGCAATACTGCTAGTAGGTGAAAACTAACCACTTTCAATACAAATTTCATGGCTTCGGCACAAATGCAATAGCAATGTCAGTAACAATGATGATACTGTTACCATGGAAACTAATCTCAGCCCTACTTACAAATCTATAGAGAGCGTCTGATTCATCAACAAATGCACACTTGTGATTCTGTCTTTTTCTTTTGAAGGAATTCTTGCTTGTCATTCCTACAGGCTGAAGATGTGCTTCTTCAAGAAGGATGTTACATAATGCCACGCCTTGTTCCCGGTCAGGCACGAAGCACCACTTAAGGAGCCAGTCAATCAGCTGCAAACCTGCAAAAAATCAGCCATAATTTTCTTTCCTAAATTCTCTTTCTTGCTTTGCTAAAACCATGGCTTCTTGGCCATTGGAAAAAATTCTTGTTGAATTTCTTTTTTTAAAGCACATAACCACCATATCTTTGTCTTCCAATTCTACTGAAAGTGAACTGTTTTAAAATGGTTTTCAGTTTCTTCAGCTTGTATTCAAGCAGATGTTTTGACTACAGTGGATAAGTTGATGCTGTTATCCAATAAATTTATCTGATGGATAAGATTTATCCATCCAATAGCACTATCCAGGCTTGTCCAACCGAGCCCAGTATTGGTGAGGTACATTCCATACTTTTTTAGGCAGCATATTTACCTGTAAAGCAGAGTTTGTAGATTTTATTTTCTGGTTTACAAGAATGATTGTCAAGAGGTACACCAGCGTTAGGGTCTTGCATGGCATCAATGATATCCCTAAAGAAAACAGTTAACATTTAAAATATACCATTTTCACAATTCACTTTCACTTCAATCACATCGTGATTGAAGCTGGCTCTTTCTACAGGCAGACATACATGACAGACAAATAGACAGATATATAGGCTAATGGATTGACAGCAACTTAGACAGTCAGAGATATAGTGGTGGATACACAGAAACATGGACATCACACACAGGTGAACAGATGTTTAGACAGATACATGGACGAGTTTGGACAGATGGATAGACAGATATATGGAGTAAGGAAAGACCATCCATACTTACCGAAGCTCTGAAGTAGATCCTGCATAAGGCACAGGCTCTTTCTCAAATAATGTGCTTGACGATGCATTGGACTCCTTTTCAACTTGAAATTTCTTAAGGTTCATGGAAGATTTATGATAAGTTTTTCCCATGTGTTTGCAAAAATTACCAAAAAAATTGAATCAAACAAATAATTTCTACAACTAACCCTATCTCTGGCTTCTATTTTCCTGATAGCTTCAGCTATAGAATTTGCCCAGCTATTTCGTTCTTCATCGTTGACAGCTTGGATAAGGTATTCTATGCCTTCCTTTGAGGTCAGACGAAATACACTCTATGGAAAAGACAAGCATGTCATGAAACTTATAAGAACCTGGCCCAACCTGGCTCCCCTTCAAATCCCAATAGCCCCCACCTCATAAATATGCTCCCTCATATAAAATATCTTTTTATTGGTGAATCTAGAATCCCCAAGGGTGTGGCCTCTAAATAGAACGTGGACGGTATAAAGCATGGCATATTTAATACCTCTTTTTTGGTGTATTCAGCACATGGACTGACAATGAAACACCCCTGCAATAGCACATATCCTGCAGGATCGACATCCTAATACAAATAAAAGTCATAAAAGTAATTAAATCTAAATCAATATTTATGATAGTTAAAGAAATTTATTGGCATAAGAGGCATTCTTATAGCTTTAATTACCAATTGATTTGAACTTATTTAAAAACTGTCATTTTTTACTATCCTGATAGACTGAAACTATATATTTTCAACAAAGATTCATCTTGATTTATTAAGAAGCCCTTACTCTTCCTTTCAGCTTTATAAAACTGTTTTTGGTCAGGTAAATCCATTCAATTTTGAAAAAAATATCATTGGCAAATGATACATGTTCTGTTTAATATAGTAACGCACCCCTTTCTTCTTGTAGTAGCAAAGTCGTTCATCGTAGAGAACAAACCACCTAGTTTTCCAGTTATGTCGAACGTGACCCTGCAATGGTAAAATAATTTTTCTATGTATATATATGCATATATATATTGACCCTAGAAAATAATTATAATATGCAGTGTGGCACCTAACGTGTGACGACGTGTACAGTCAAGTAGGTTGTCATTTATGTATCATAATATGCGATCATGTAATAGCACACAAATTTGCCTAATATATTGCAGTAGGTATCATAATTATACAGGAAATCAAAGGGTTTTGAAAATGAAATTGGATGTCACATTAAAGATTCATTATGATTTTTGATATTTTCTCCTGCAAATGATAATTTTTGTTATAAAATAGGATATCTTTAGATTCAACTATATAGGAAAATTACTGAATTTGTATCAAAATTTATTAAAATATTGTATTTATTTTCATGTTTCATGTTTAAATGCTTGATATTTAGACAAGCATGTTGATAAGAGTTTTTATTTTCTCTTCCTTAGAAACTAAAAGATAAGAATAATCAATGTATTGGTAGACCAGGAATAAAATTTTAAGAATTTCATATGGAAGGAAATTTAAGCTGCTAAGATATATTATATTAACACACCTAGAATTTTAGAAGAAGGGAATTAGGAAAATTAAGATCAAACATTCTAATTACCATCTGAACTGAAAATAATGTAGATGAAATACAAACAAACTTACGAACAGTCTAAGTCAAGTGGTTTCATATTCTTTATCTTGATAGATTGCTGACATAATTATTGGAGTACAAACACTAAAAGCCTGCAATATTTATTACTAAATAGCACTAATTTAAACAATAGAAAATGTTCTATAGAATTGGCATAATTGAGCACTATTTAGCATTTATATTTTCTAGTCACACGCTTTCTTTTAGTGTCTAAATGTACGATTTCATAACCTTACGATATGAAAATAAAACATGAACTCACCTTTTTTACGAGGTATCCTTCTTTCCGTTTTACCCTCGACAAAGACGCCATTTTACAAAGCATCCATGACTCTTTGAAAACTGAATCTTATTGAAACGATTTCCTCTATGATCCAGCGATCAAGAGCTTCAGTTTGTAGTAAGACTTCAGTCGTAAAGGGCACTTACATTTACACTACTGAAGTTGTAAGAAGCTAAAAGACGAGTCAATATTGACAATTATTGACAGATGATATTGGAACTTAAAGATCCTGGTATCCCATTTAAGAGCAGGTTAGTGGATATCTATAGGGCTTTGAGGAGAGGAAATGAGTAAATCACGAGCAAATGGAGGGAAACTCCTATTATTTTTGAATTCTTTTTCAAATTCTATTTTTAGAACTCCAAGCCATCAAAGCTTGATGGGAAAACTGTGTTGCTATCCACAGACAGCCCAATTCTTTCTTTCCCTAATTATCATTTTTTTAAACCTCATAAGACCTAATGACCTAAATCACTTTTTTACAAAAGTAAAGAAAAAAAACATCATAAAAATTAATTAATATTATTATTACTAGTAAAGAATTTGAAAATATTCTATACTTGAAAATGCATTACAAACAAATAACTTGGGCTTCCTGTGTCCACAAGTTGATTTTCAAAATGGCGGCAACGATTTTCATTCCAAGCGCGAAACGTTTTTATTAAATTCTCTTAAAGTAACGAAGCAAAATGTTCGAGAATAAGCTAGGGTGCTGTCCAAGGACTACAGTATTCGTTCTTGACCGTAGTTCTCGTTTCTTATCGCTGTCCAAGCAGCACATTGACCTGGATGGAACTGGGAAAAGCAAAGCACAAGCAAAAGGATCCAAGTCTGCTCTTGGTCCTGTGTACAAGAACGCTTGGACGTGCTGTGTTGAAGCCACTATTGAGTACTGTAGGATTATCTATGACTTGTTTCCCAATGAATACATGGTGAGATTTTAGCGATATCGATTAATGGAAAAAAGCCTGTAGGGGAGGGGGAGGTAGAATAGACTTTTGATATATACTTTATGGGGTGGTAGGGACGGGCAAATTAGATCATTTTGACTTGAAAATGAACTTCTTGGGTTTAAGTGTTTTGTTCAGTAATATGTGGATCTCAGTGGCAGATCAAGGATTTTWAAAAAAATGGCGGTTCCAAAGATGCACAAAGGGGCTTCAAGATTCGTTTACTCAGTATAAGTGCAAACATGGAGCAATTTTCTTTGAAACTTGCATGGAGCATTGCAGTGTGTAACCTATAGTGCAATTTGAAAAAAACCTTTCTAGACAAGTTGCCACATTTGTTGCACACACAGTAGAATTCGTTTCCTTCCTCATTCCTTCCTTTTATTTTTCTATTCATTCATTCATTCATTCTTTCATTTACATTTTTTCTTTTTTGCTGTTTTTCAGGCTCAGGTGATAGTATCAGATGAAAAAGCCTACAAAGTCAATGCCAAATCTCCAGACCAACAGAATGTACCACATGTAAGTAACATACAGTACACTTTTTTATTACACATTTAGGATCAATATCTGTGTGATAAAGTCATGAATAAAAAGCATATCAGTGAAGTGATACGATATCAAACAAATTATTATATGATAAGAAGGGTGGTGTCTACATAGCAGTAGTGCACTCATCCCCTACCTCTAGGGTATTCAGTTTGATTCCCTGTCTCGGCATCTCATATAGAGTTCATTAGGTCTCTATCTTGATTTGAGGGTTTTTTATTGGTTCTCCTCTCTCAGCAAAGCTGCTAACATGCTAAATTTCAATTCAGTGTTTGAGTTGGCCATGCCTTGAATTTTATCAGTCCAGAGGCTGTTTCAGGATCTCAATCAAATTTTACAAAATTCCTGGTTATAGCTTTGAAAACATTTCAAACCTTTTTTACAATTCTCAGCTTCTTAGGACATTTGCAAACCTTGGTCCTCCCAAACCAGATAATGAAGAAGAATGTTCCATGTTACATGGTTTGACGATGGCTGTACAGTGTGCTGGAGAAGCAGCTCCTATGACCAAGTTTCAAACAGAAAGATGTGCTGATGAAGATGGAAAAGTTAGAATAATCTGTCTGACATCCTTGAAGAAGTAAGTTTAGTAAATATAATGACTGAATTTTGGTATTAGAAATTTCACTAGACATTGTACATGTATTTTTTTTCATTTGGCATTATATTAGAGATAATTTGTCTTGTCGTAATGTATACCCAATTCAGACCATGTTTCATTCCCTTGAGAATAAGATTCTTTGTTTGCGTAGTATGCATATTCATGTGTCTTTTCATGTGCAACTATTTAACAAAAAAAATGATACTCTTGGGACTATGTAGTTCCAGAAGTTATCCATAAAATTATCCATATCCTCCCCCCCCTGGAGATTCCAATTTTCTACCATACAAACTCTGTAATCTTTTTTACTCTGACCCTCGCCCCACCAGACCCCCACCAACCCAACCCACCCTCCACCCTTCAGAAATTCCAAATTCCTCCACAGGGAGGGGGTATGGATAATTTCTGGAACTCCACTGACAATGGTCTGTAATGAGTGAACATTACATCAAGACAAATTAGGTCTATTAATCAATTGATCAACATGGGGTGTAAAAATTGGGTCAATTTGTTATTCTTGTCTTGTTTTTAGTGAAGCTCATGTCAACACTCTTGTAGCTTGTGTGAATGATGCACTACAACATCAAACCGGCAGGTAATGTACATCATTGTTCACTCGTGAATCTCATTCTGAGTACATGTATATTAGATGTGTTGTTCTCCTTAGCCACCAGAATTTCTTTTTCTCTCGGTTCTTAAAATTTTCTTCCATAAAAATCAACGAGTGAGTTGTGTGTAGAGTGAATTTGCAAAAACAACCTTTAGTTGGAATATGTGGTGGTTAAAGAGAGAAAAAAGTGGTCAGATAATAGACTAGAAAAAGTAGATTGCTGAGTAATGTTCATTATTTTTACATTACCAGAACTGACACCCAGTTGGCTCACTTTGAATATCATAGTCTTTTGCATGGAGTGTTGCAAGATGAACTAGATAGATAATTTGGCTTCAATTGCCAGGCCGTACAGTAGCAACTCTTAAAATAACTGAGGAGAAAGTGATGCCTTTGTACTACAAAAGGTTTTCACTTTCAAGTTGCTCAGATGACTATTTGAAATTGTTCCTTTGCAGCGCTCCTGTTCAAAACCTGGAGCTGATTTTAATCCATGTCATCCATGCTTCTGATAGTAGCAAGTTCACTGAAAAGGTTCCCAAGGTATGAACTTTGTCTTGATATCAAGAATTTCAATATTACTTTGTCATAAGTTTTCAGAGACCATCATTTGAGATTATGAGCAGGGGCGGATCCAGGGGAGGGGTGCAGGGGCTGCGCACCCCTCCCTGGTTCAACTTTGTGCCCCTACTTCGAAGATAACCAATACTGTTTTTTCCCTTTGATTCTAAGGGGTGCACCCCTCCCTGGGTTAACTTTGTGTGCAGCACCCATCCCTGAACAAAATCCTGGATCCTCCCCTGATGAGATTACACTTCATTAGTAGGTTAAGTCAGAAATGTACTACAACAAGATAAGAAGGCAGTTTTCTTTCATCCCTCAATCTTTTTGAACCTCTTCAAGCGTTCTCATTTAAGGATCAGTGATTGAAGATACTGTAACTCCAGTAACGAAGCAAAATTCTCCAGCTTGAATGACCATTCTCCTATAATTTCAAAACTTAATGAAAACCCTGCCAGGACTCTCCTGCTAGTTCATAATCTTCTATCTTCTACTATTAATTCAACCCTGCCTTTTTGGGGTTTCATGGGTTTGTCATAATCCTGCATAGGGTGACCAAAAAGTGCTTGCATTCTAACTCAAACAGGAAATGTTTCATTTAAAGGTGTCACCAATGATGTCAGTCAGCATTCACTCAATCAAATCATCTCAGCTGGTGTTGAAGTCCAGTCTAATGGTGCAGAAGCACTTCAATCTCAAGTCTACCACAGTAACAGGCATTCCAATGAAGGTGAGGGCTGGCATCTATTCTATAAATAACTGTGCTACAGGTAGCACATGCAGCTCTTTCTTCAGAAGAAATGCCTGGACAAAACCAGGGACTGCAGCGCTCTATAAATAGTGGTAGGGCTAAAGCAATTAAGGTTTGAAATCAGTGATGTTATCATGCAAAAAATCTAATCAAAGTCAGGACACAGACAATTCACAGATCAAATCCCAAAACAACCTCTGGGCTGACCTAAGTCAGGGCACAGCCAACTCATATATCGAACCCTGAAAAAACTCTGGGCTCATCAAAATCAGGGAATGGTGACTAACTCAAAGACTGAAATGGAATTTAGCATGTCCCCCTCCTTCTCTTCAGTTCATCTGGTTGCCATCTTGGGCAACATAGCAAAGGAAACCAAGAGCAAATCTTTAAGAGATCAACACGGCAGCTGCGATATCACATGTACCTTGCAAATAAAGTGCTAAATGTCATTGTTTTCTGATCTTGGATGTACAACAGGAGGAACAACATTCTGGAAGCTCTGCAAACTATGATGTAGAAATACTTCATGCCGCTGAAGTGCATCATGATCTTACAGTCTTTTGTAAGTACATGGACACCTCCCCTCCCCCACCCCTCCCTCACCACTCCCTAAATCAGGTAGGGTGTCAACAAGTTTAATAGTATGATGTGAAAATACTTTGTGCTGCTGAAGTGCATCACCATCTTACAGTTTTTTGTAAGTATCCAATTCAACTTCAATCAATCATTTTGGTCAGTTTGGATATTTTTATCATTGCTAAGATTTTCAACCTTTAGTATCTGCTTTCCTCACTTGTGTTCTTGTTTTTTGACCCTTTTAAATCAGCATAGACCTTATTGTCTTGGTGCGATCTTTTATAATTTCAGACCTTGTGTCATTCCCTAGAGTATCATTTCTTGGTTTAACAGTTGAACATGAGAAGACACATGAATTTAGATACAACTCAAACAAAGAATCCTATTCTTTAGGGACACATGGTCTGAAATAGGTAAACATTGTGCTTCAGTGAATAAGGTCTATTGATCCATCCTTTTCTTCTACAGCTCAGTTTTGTAGCAATAACACTGTCAGCGCAGCCGTGGTATCTTCTAATGCCAGTTCTTCAAGCTCTACAAGTGGAAAGAAAGATGCACCAGCAAAAGAAACAGTAATTTTGAAGTGGTGTACTCCTAAAAACAGTACTACGAATGGTAAGCTTTCATCGTAAGAGTGGAGGAAATGAGTCCATAATTTGATCCTTGATGACCTCACACAATTGTTTTAAGGAGCAAGTGGGGTTTGGTTTGTTAGTGTGCTGCCTGCTAAGCAAGAGATCCATAGTTTGATCCTTGATGACCTCACATACCATATTCTGAAAATAAGCCCTGGGCTTTTATTTGCCCAACCAGGCTTTTTGATCTTAGAACAATAGAAGAAAAGCATGAAGTATAATTTCTTAGAAATTAAAGTGGCCAGTTCCTTAGAGTACGTACAGAGCATTTTAAAAATAGTTTTGTGAATAGGTTAATTTTTAAATATGATGTATTTAGTTTTTAATATTTATATGTAGTTATATGTTCTTTTAAATTTTCATTGCAAAATGTAATATTACTTACTTGTGCCCAATTTTATCTTATTCTTACCTATCATCATATATCAATTGTAATATCCTTTATGTAATTTATTGGGGGTTATTTTCGGAGGTTCATGGTACATGTTACAATTAGCATTTGCTGCTGGCTGGTAAAGATCAAGGTATCATATCAACACCCATATTTTTTTCTTTCTTAGAACTTTTCCCATGTTTAGGATCATATAGAATAACACCAGTAGAAGTAAGTCAATCAGCAACATTACACTCAGAACACCTCATACTGTAATTTATAATCAATGTTGGAAACCAATATGTGACTAATTATGCGCCAGCACCAATAATACAGCTTGGGCTGCCTGTGGTTAGATGGCAGAACAATAAAATCCCTTTGCTCTTGGGAATTGAATTCTTTCTCATATAAACGATTGTATTGTTCCTGCCATGGAACATGGCTGCTGTCACGTGATGGTGCAAAGGCTCTATTACAGATGGAGAATTTTTCGAAGGGTACGAATCCAGGGGGTGGGGTGCATCAAAATTGTCAACAAGCCCTTAAATGGAAAATATATAGCATTCTTACAGTCAAGTGTTGGTTTTTAACCCTTGACACACAGGTTTCTTGTCCTACTAGTGCGGCCTCTAACCACTGTTGTTGTCGGTACAATCCCTATTCCAGCCATTAAATATAAGCAGAGTTGCTTGTTGGCTCTTCCCTGTGCTTTGAAAACCAGAGAACCTAAGTAGAGAAAACCCCTTAAAGCACAGGAGAGAACAACCAAGCAACTCTACTCCACCTCTACTAACCAATCTTGTATGCCAATATGTTTTAGGTAAACAGTAGACCAGCCTCTTGCTTGATATCATTCCTTCTGCAAGGTAAGACAGTAGAGAAGAAATTTCAATGAACAAAATCTTTTTTTTGTATTTAATGTCGTGATATGTGTTTTTTTTTCAAGTATAATTTGACACACTCTACACTCATTTACGCTACTTTTAATATTCTAAGGTTACAAGTTCAAACTCTATGACACGAAAAATCGAGACATAATAGAGTTTTGGTGGATGCCAATCAAAGTGTTTTCCAGCATATTTGTCGGAAAACATAAAGCTTTTAAGGGCACGTGCCTATGGAATGTCATGGGGATGCATTGATTAACGTCCACCAAAACCTACTTCGTCATAATGGCAAATTGTAGAATTTCATGCATTTGATTGAGAAGCACTATAACATGCAGCATCTACAGGAATTTTCAACCTAACCCATAGGACCCACAATTATGGGGAAAGATTAACATTGTACTGCTACACCACTCTACGCCACCAAAAAGAGAAAGAAAGATCAACATTATGTCTCTTAATCTTGTATTATTGCTTGATTTCAGGCCGTTCTGTTATGTTAGAGCAACCTAGAAAGTTAGGCAGTAAAGTGGTCTCTCACATCCTCATGAGCCATGGTGGTAAGGTTAACCAATATTATCAACTCTCTCTTGGCTTCTCCACCCACCCACCTATCCATCCATCCATCCATCCATCCATCCATCCATCCATCCATCCATCCATCC